TTACGGCGGAGCGTACGAGCGAGCGGGAGGGACGAAAAATGGAGAGAAACGAACCGAAGGAGGAATAGTCGGGAGTCCCGCCCGCGAGAATACCTGAGGCGAGACGCGTTTTCCGAGGGGATCCCTTGCGGTCGTCGGTAACATCCTTGAGGAATGTTTGCGCGGTTTCCGCGCGGATTAGTTTCGCCCGGTCGCGACGTACGTACGTCGCGGTACATACGCATGCTTCGCACCAAGCGCCGGCTGAAGTACGACGCGCATCGATGCGTATCCCGCGGAATGCAGGCAGAATAAATGGAGAGACGGCGGCGGAAAAGAAGTATCCCCGGGACCGAGAGAGCGCGAAGAAAAGCGGGATCGAGATCCTCCGCGAGAAATATGCGCTCCGAAAGGCAGGAGAAAGACGACGAAGCGGGCGAAATATGATAAATCGCGCTCATTTTCCTAAGTTGATAACAAATAATGAGTCACAACCCATTGGTGGTTTTATCTTACCAATAATATGTAATTTGTTGTAGTTTGACTTCAATCTGTCAACGACAGCGGATAACATGATAAGAAACGTATTTTCGATATGTAGTTTTGTGATATTTCCTTAGAAAGAATGGCATAGTTAAAGTAAATATTTGTACTTTCTTCATGAAACTATCGTTTCATATATACACGTCTATAATAACGTATTATTATCTTTGATTTCTCACATTGTAATTTTTTCTCCAATTCGATGAATAAGTGTATGTATGAAAATGAGGAAAAATCGATAAAGTTTCAGGTCGCCTCCTCCTTTTCCTTCTCCCTCCCCCTTTTCCCCTACCCGATCATCGAGGAATTGAGACGTTCGAATTTATGTGCGGCTCCTTAATCCGACGGGATTATCCCCGTTCATCGCCTGGCGAGTAAGCGGACTACCAAATGAGCGCGCGGTCTTCTGATTGAAATTTACAACCGTATCCACGCGGGGAGACTTCTTATTCTCTTCCTGAACGTTGCGCGCGCGTCAGTCAGCCGGTCGAGCGCACCTCAAAGGCGCGACTGTGCGCGTACCATTCTTGACCCTCTTCGAATTGAGGAAGACGGCTCGGCCGAGAACCGGTAGCTGAATTCTTCGGAGGGTCCAGTCTCGCTAGCCGCTCTACCTGTTGTCATGCGATACTCGAGATGCATCGCGAGGACTCTCGAGCCGCTCTCTCGCTCTTTCTCTCCCTCTCGTCTCGCGCTCCTCCTTTAGAAAGAGTATCAGGCTTCGCTCGCTTTAACCGCGAAGAAAGCCGACTCGTCGAACGCGGAGACGCGGCTCGCCCGAGCGAAGAGGAAGGCGGCTTTGCTTGGCCGGACGGATTCGTGCCAACTGCAGTGTGAAATGCCATGTGGCCGTCGAGAGATGACGTCGAGCGCTCGCGGTCGAGTGTTTTAAAGCTCCTGAATGGATAATACAACGAGCTGGCGCTTATATAAATCGCGCTCCCGTCCCGCAGAGGATTAGGCCCGAGATGGGAAATCTGTGTAGGACCCGCGATACACGCTCGTGACGCACGCACCAGTCTTCCTCGGATTATTCCGCGTCATGGAGCTTCCGAGAGCACTTGCGACCCGGCCGGTCTCATCGATTTCTCGAAAGCGGAACGCTGAACGACTACGCGTCGAAACCCGTCCTATTAATCTTTATTAGATTACTAAATATTCGCTTATCGCTTGTATTCCATCTGCAGTCGAGTAAGTTACATAATTATCACGGCCTGTATAATACCTTCAACACTCTTCATTGATTATATTTCAAGTTCGAGGGTAGTGCAGGGTCAATGTAGAGATAGAATTGAAATTGGCGCCAACATTTATGGAGCCAAGCTTCTAGTGATTTCCAGTCATTGCCATCATGTCTGTATGACGCGGTACGATACGTCAAGCTGTCAAAATGACAGATTAGACGGATAATTAACAGCCATGATATATACGCATATCCCAGACAGGAAGCGAGCGACTAGAAATCGCTAATGAGTTTTGGCTTAGTAAATATTAATTGAGGCCTTATTGAAGCGTGACATGTCTCGAGGGAAGAATCGCCGTGGTCCCGCTTTCCTTCAGTTTTCTGGTTAGAAAATTGGTCGTTATATGCGAGAAAAATAATAACGCGTCGATCGGAGAATAAGGATAGACTGTAAAAAATGCCGAGATAGCCGAAATACCGGCGAGAATTCAGAATAATAACGCGCGCGTGATATATCGCAGTTTGATCGATTTAATTGTTTCAGAAAGTGACGCCTAGAGCGGCCGTAGAGCGCCGGCCGCTATCGCGAGTATTGTGTGTATAAATTTCCGGCGGTGCGATCATTATCGTGAACACGGAACTTACAGGCAGCTCGCCGTTTCTTTTTGCACAACACGCTAAATTTCAGCATTCCGGCCTATTCCACTGCGTTTGCACACGAGAAAGCCGCCGCGCGCAACAACGCTTACGGATGTAATCGAGCATCTAGCGAAAGACCTTGACGAACGACATTGATAAACGATCCCTTAGTCGCGTTTCAACTAACCGACTCGGCGGGATCGTATAACAAGTTCGTACTAACAAGCCTCGCATATATGCACGCTAGGAGCGCGATCATACACCTCCGCGAATTTTGTTGCATGATATGCAATACATCGCGTGAATTTTAAGCATCTCGCTGGGAGTTCGAGGTATCGATCGACGGAGCGAGAGCAACTCTCCCGTACACACTCGCGCGGGTGTAATGCCCTGCGGACACGGTGACGTTATTTAATTGGAAACGTAGACTTGCGCGCGTGCGATAAAATGTAACGTCGAAAAAGGGAACTTCGTCGTGGCGTGATCGGCGGACAGAGAAACGTGACACCGATGTGAACTCGGCGACTGGCATGAACAAAAGGAAACTTCCGAACATCCGTTTCGTTCGTAACGCTCGTATTTTATGTACCTGTTTGTACCACCTTTCGTTTCCGTCAAAGCGGTAACTGTCATTTTCTGAAGTATTTCGGAACGACGGAGAGAATCAACTCTCGGTGGGAGAAAAGTGAGAAAGAGAACGAGAAATATTTATTCGGTGGGAACTAATAACACGTTTACTTACAGCAATACATATACTTTTACACCGAGGAGAAAATTGTTCATATTAGAGAATCTACGTTTTATTAAATCTGTAGTTTGCGTGAAAACCGTGTTGTTTATTCGGTATATTTAAATAAAAGAGAATTTAGATTTTTAATAAATATGTTATTATCACTCATTGGAAAAATAATTGTTATTTTTTTTATATTTCCTCTCTCAGTGTGCACAAGCGAGCACAAACGAGGTTCTCTTGAACAGCATGGAAGAATCTGTCGAAATATTTCCTGCCCAATTGTTGATTATTTTTTTAAACCCGTCATATTTTTCTATCTTTTTATTATATCACTGCCTTTATTCAACCGTGTATTTTTTCAAACGAGCCAAGCGTGAATACGTTGGGCGAATCGGCAAAACGGTGCCCGTAACTCCGGCAAGCGAGCAAAACTCCATTTTTCTCGATCGATTCTCAGTTAATCGTGCGAAACGAAGGCGGAGAGCTGCCAATGCAATTCATCAGTAGCCAGATAATACTTGACCAATTTGCCAATGAAATCGACACGAACGGTGCGGAAAGGCGCGCCCAACGCACAAAGACCGTCGACCACTCTCTCGTGATCACCCTTTTACGATATTCTCTTTTCTTCCGGAGATAAATGAGTTCCTCTTGGCGTGTTCAGGAAACCGGCCCGTACGACCACCAACGTTTCTGCCCATGCATCAGTCAATATAAACTTGTGTCCGAATTGAACAAGAAGTATGTTTGTTTAAAGGAAAGCACCATTTTTCGTCTCTCACCTCGGAGTGCATCTCAACGCACTTGGAAGATGAATCGCGAGCCGCGTGACGAGGTCGGTTTCGACTCGGCTTTAAGCGCCTCGAGTTCCCTAACTGTTCGATGATCCCGCGTATTTCCAGTAGACGAATCGCGCTTAATAATTAATTCTGACGGTTATCGACCGGAATCCATCTCCCCCCCTCCTCCCCCCGAGGCGAAGAACAGCAGTTTCGCGTTCGAGGGAGCTATCGAGCCACCGGGGAAAATTACGCCCTCTCCCTTCGGCTTTCCTCCGGTTCCTTTCACGGTAGCGCAACTGGGAATGAAGGCGCCGCGAGGAAATTTCGCGTGCGGGAAAGTGTCTGCCGTGCACGTTGGGATATTTAAATGGCAAGGGCTGCCAGCCACGTCTCCCATAAGTGGCACTCTCGACTTTCCTAACCGTCTTTTACGCTTTCCGGTAGAAACAACGCCGCGCGGCGACCCGACGTTAAACCCGTTTCACCTCGATACTTCCTTCGCCCGGTTGCGTGCGAGAGGGAATTTCCATTTTGTGTAAACAGCGGCCTCCTCCATACGCCACGAGTGGCGGCCGCCGAAGTAGGTTGCTTATCGTGTTTCTTGAAATCGGCAAAAGTGGCGTATATTCCACTCCTTTCGTTCTTTATACACACACAAATTGGCCAAGATTTACGATTATATGCGCGCGATTACGCTTCGCGGAAAATTGTTGTCTCGGGATAACCGTGATGAAACGTGGGAAGTGAATTAAAACGCCTCCCCATCGTGAATGTTCATGAGGAGCTTCACCGACTATTCACCCGACAGTTCTCCGAATCTTCCCGTTTCCTACCCGTCGATCGCCAAACGTTGCCTCACATATAGTTGCAATATTTAATTTGACATTTCAACAATCAATGTGAATAACGGATCATTTTGTAAGACAATATTCATCGAAACAGTATCCCCTGCGCGGAGAAAAAGTTTGCTCGAATTAACTTGACGATATGTGAAGCGCGTTTTGACGGAGGAGAGGCAAAGATTACATCAGAGATGTCGATTCACGTCTCAGCCCCGCGGACGTATTAATCGAGCGGGGCGAAATTACACGCGATGATGTTCCATCAATCGAAACGTCTTTTCTTTTCTCTTGTGTCGCAGGTGCGAGCTGGTATCGAGTCGACGAGCAGCCTGCAGTGCTGCGCCGAGCGACGCTGCGCTCCGATATTTAAAACGCGACCCCGATCGCCGCTTCGCGGCGCGTACGAGAGATGAACGAATGACCGGCACGGTGATCCATACGCGATGAGGCCGAAATCGTGCTCGCTGTTTCTGCTGTTCTGCGTCCTCCTGCCCGGACTGGTCCGTCCCTTCACGTCCGGCGAGGGTGAGTAGAACGCGATCTCCGGACACGTTCGCGCGCCATAAAGCTCGCACGCGGCCGCCGTCGAAGGAGAGAAGGATCTCGCGGGAGATCGTTAAGGCCGCCATTGAACTCGTGCCGAGCCTATAATGACCTCTCAACTGGCGCTCATCTCCGCGGATTCGAGGAGCTGCCTTGGAGGACTCGCGCGCGCCGTTCGAGTGCCACTTTACGCGAGTTCCGTCGGAGGAACGCCGGTCCGTTTGCGCGCGCGAGAGAGATTACTGTTAGTTAAGTTACCTCGTGTCGTTACGTCGTTGATGGAACGAGCGCGTTATTAGTTTGCCCGGGGTGCGCTCTCGACGAGTCTCTTCCTCGCCGCGCGTATTACGCGTTTCGCAAAACCGCGAGCGACGAGTTTTCTTAAGGCGGTTGATTGCTAGAAAGCTAAACGGTTATTAGTACAACGTGAAGTAGTGCGACAAATCTGTGCTAAATGTTTATAAACGTGATTTATGATGTACGATTTGGCGGTTATTTATTTTACCGTTTGGCTACTGGAGCGGCTGGGAAAGTTTTCGGAATACCTGACAAAATGTGCTCGGCCTATCACAAGTATCATTTTACGGACTTTTCATTTCAACGTGTTTTCATCCGAAAATAGTAGCGGCAATGTAAAGATAAGATTAATATCATTGAAACTATAATGACACTTACTGGAAAAATACTCCTGGCGATAATTCTTACCGGGAAAGTTCTTGTTGCCTTCACATGTGCGGATCGTTAGTTAGAAATATCGAATATTTTTTTCTCACGCTACCGCGGTTAAATAGCGTGTTTATTTACGAGGGGCGATAAGCCACTGAAAAATATCCGCCGGCGCTTCTCAGGGTCGCGTTACTCGCAGAACGAGTGTCCATGTGACTCGGGGGTTTCGCTAATGACCGCGCGAACTCGGAGTGAGAGGGAAGGTCGAGTTGGAAATACATATAGACGCGGGCGTAGGAATAATATCCGTCGTGAGAAAGAGGGCGAGAGAGGGAAAGAAAGAGAGGCTGCTAATTATACGGCGAGGCAGCCTGACTGATTAGTCGTCGGCGTAAGCGAGCGGTTACATTACACCGGCCCGTTTTCGATGATGGATTACACTCCCCCGGAGCTACTTTCGAGAGACCTCCTGGACTACGACGACCGCCAACCCCGCTGTTTCTTTTCTATCTTCCGGAGGGACACATCTCGCGGCTAACTAATTAGCGTTCCCGACACGTCGCCTCGCGTTAACGACGGATCCCGTCGTGACGGCCGCAACGACGATGCATCCGGCTCGTAAAAAGAACGGCGCGACGATCAATCTCCGTTGACTCCGGACGCGAAAGTATCGCGCGGCCGATTACCGTCCCGAAGAACAAACACGGCCGGCCGATCCATCCTCTTCGCGCTCTTTCTCCGGACGTCTTCTTCTATTCGTCCACCTCGTTTTCCTGCTCGCGCGCATTGCTCGCATTCCGTTCCGAGCGTGCAACCGCTCATCTTCTTCTCCCCGGTAAAGACGTGTTCGTTAACGCTCGCGTAATTGTTTCTCCGGTAAACGAACAGTCGCGAAGGAAAATCAAGTGGTAGGGGAAAAAGGAGCAAACGGATGTGTATGATTTAACGCCAGGACGATACGAGGATACAATTATAACCTGCTAACCATCCGCGGGATCTAACTATATAATCTCGCGCGGCTGTGCGCACGATCTCCTCCACCCCATCCTTATTATCCGGCGCGTCTACGTCGTCCACGTCGGCGTATAAGTCGGCGCGCGCGCAACACATCGACGGGAACAAACGGCGCGCCGGCTTGAAAAAACATTCATTCTCCCGTAGGTACGTGCTGTACAATAGAAATCGCAACATAACGCGCACGGGTATTCACGAGTACTTTTCCATTTTTCTCCCGCGATGCGGCGTCGGGCCGTATAAATAATTCCTAGCATCCCTGCTATGCAAGCTATCCGGCGGCGGAATATTCCTCGCACGGTCACCCGTACAGGCGCGAGAATCATATCTCATGCAACACATTGGTACACGTGTGCTCCTTCCCTCCCCCTTCCTCCCTTAATTCTCGATAAATCGGTTCCACCGCAGTTTCAGTCGCAGTCCAACCTTTAGTTTTCGCGCGTTTCTCAGCTCGCCCGGTTTCAACCTGGTCGTGTTCTTTCTCGCACGTACTTTCTCGCTGTGTAAATGCTCTTTATCGTTAATTTAGTTCTTGGTTAATTTTTAGCTCGTCGTACAGTGAGCCACCTCCTCCTCCACGTATTCTGTATTTTTTAACAGCGATTGAGAGGACGTGCGTCCCAGAGCGTTCAATAAATTTCACTTCCCTCTCTCTCTCTTTCTCTGCCCTTCCGGCCAAGAGTGTGCTTTCCATTTCTCACGCACGTCCCACGGATAAGTAACAATTATCCTCACGTCGCGTTTTCGCGCGAGACAATACACACGCCGGCGCTGCAACGTGCAATCGCGCGCGCTCATTAACTCGTCTCGCGCAACAGACGCAGGCCGCGCTTTTCTAAGCACCCCGAGACGGTCTCCGCGGACGTCCCGCGTAATGACACGGGCGCGACCTTTCAGGCCTATGAAAAAGATTGCGATCTGCCTCCATGCGAGTAGTCATCATCGCGTGTAACACGGAGATAATTGCCGCTCTCGTTATTATCGTCGTTACACAGGCGATACACATACGCGCACATACGTGTGTTAGCCGCCTCGGTCTGCCGATAAATAACAATTACGGCCTCTGACCTCGTAATAATGCCAGCGGGATTTACCCGCTCCGAGCGCGCTTCGCTGCGACTCTCTACCCTATCTAAGGAATAATCGTCGTCTGCGTCATCACCGACGTCGTCGTCGGACAGGAAGCGGCGAACAAACGGCGCCTGGCCGGCCGGCCATTCTCTCCTACGTGCAGCAACTCGCCGGCCGCGAGACGCGTATTATACGCACGCACGCATGCACGCGCGCACACTCGCGCGCGGCCGTGAATAATTACCCCGACGATTTATCGCGACGTGATATCGCGTCATAATTTCGCTGTCTTGACCGGGCGGCGAGAAAAATATTAGCCGCGTTAATAATTAACGGGCGCCCGCGAGAGAAAGAGAGAGGTCCTGCGCTCCGGTAACTCTCCCCGCGTTCTCACGTTTTCACCGCACCGGTAGCGCCATTGCGCACACACGTACACACACACACACGTGGCGATGAAGCATTTAGCGTGGCACAGTGGTTGCACCGCCACCGTCCTCGCAACGGAACGGTGTTTCAATTTTTCAGCCGCGCTCCTTATCTCACGACGCCGCGCGAATTTCGCGACGGCCATGCCGAAGTTATTCGCGTGGGTGTAGAAATGGTTTACGGCACGCGTTTTACGGAGAGATGCGCTCGGGTCGAAATTTTGCCGAATACGGTGAATCTTTAATCTACGACACAGTGTAAAATAAGACACGATATTATCATAGTAGCGGTCACCGGTGATTCAACGTGTTCGGAGAATCCAAGTAGCATGAAAATGTCGACTTTTACGACTCGAACTTTCTCGTGCGCGCGAAGCTGTCATTCACTCGCGATTTCGTTCTGTATCGCGCAGGAGGGCACCTTATGGGTATTAAAATTATGAAACCGATAGCGTCGCGCACGCCCCCCCCCCCGCTCGCGAAATTTATGCCCCGCGACGCGGGATTATACCGGGGAAATTGATCGTTAATTCGCTCGCTCGCTCGTTTCGAGTTGCTACGTGATTTATGCCGTAGCTTAATAAGTACGATGCGCACGACATACCAGCATGCGCCGTGACGTTGATCGACGTTCTTATGTAATTCCGATAAGAATAATCTCGACGAATACAGCACCGCGAGTACGGCGGCTTCGGTGGAGACCTCGGGGCACCGCGTTGTCGAATATCACCGCGGATATATACCGGGTTGAGGTAACCAATTTTATCACCTTGATATTTTCTTCGAAAGATAAAAACATTCACATCTCGATAGTCTCGTAACGCTTCGGGAGTCTCCCGCGGCTCCGAACGTCGCGTCGCGATCTTATTCGCGTGCGTTCGTAGTCGGTAGAGTTCGTTTGCACGCACCGTCCGCGACAACACATCCGAAAACTGCGTCGCCTTTCGAAACGAGCTCCCTTAATCGCGCGCTCGCCGCGGTATAAATTACAATACGAGCCGCGACGAATTCGTGCGCCGGCAAGACGGCGGATTTCTAATCATACCTCGCGAGACGATCGCGCTATAAATCCCCGAGCGTTATATCATCGCTTTCACGATCAGATTCGTTATCCTCGATCACACAGCCAGCGCGCGAGCGCTTACGCCCGGGAAAGGATAATAGAAGCGCGGACGAGCGAGGGAAAGAGAGAGAGAGAGAGGGAGAGAGTGAGCGAGAAAGAGCATCGGGGGCTTCGCTACTCACGCCCCGGCGCGCAAGCATCACCCTCTTGGCTTCGATAAGTATCATAAGTAAATCGCGATTACCGTTCGCGATATAACCGTCGATCGGGAACGCGGCGCATACGTGGCGACGGTCGGTGGAGGGGAGAGGGGGTGACGCGGTGGGAGCCGAGATCTGGTCTCGCGAAACCGCCACGGGCAAAAATGCAAAACCCGCGAACGCCGGTTGGTGCGCGCTCGCTCGCTCGCTCGCTCGTGCAATTACCCGGTTGGTTCCGCCAGACGGTCCCGGTCTCGCCGGACTCGGAAAGAGCGGTTACGAGGAGAAGGTAAGCAAGAGGGGGGGGGGGGGGGGNGGGGGGGGGGGGGGAGAGGGGAGAAGGTTAAAAAGAAACAGGAAAAGAAAAAAAAAACGAGCGGCAATCGGGAATGAGGAGGATGAGAGAGCACGAAGTGGGATCGGAGGGGAAGAGAGAGAGAGAGAGAGAAGAGAGCAGCAGTCTCTTTAATATCTCTCGGGTCTCTCATCGGCACTCGGCCGACCAAGGAGTCGCGCGCGCACTCCTCTTTCGCTGCGACGAAA